GCATTAACCTCCCACATTCTTTTCATACGACTAAATTGTTCGTTAACCAGACTGTTAAGAAAATTCTTAAGCAGGATACAATTTAATGTGCTATGCATAAAAGTTGGAGGACTCTGGGGAAAGAGACAACTTTCATTTCCAGTTTTCCAAGAAAGACATAAGTAACATCTATCCCCATGTGTATAATCAAGATACGTAATCTTGATTTAAAACTACTTAATAATATTTGACTATTTGTAGTATTAGAATTTTAATTCATACTAAGTTTTGACAAATGTTTGACTTGTAAGTATTGTGAACCAGTTTAAGTTGATTTCTTTTGTATGACCCTAAGTGCTTAAAATTATCAACGATATCTAAGAACTGATGGACGAATTTAAATACATTTAAAATTCAAACAAGTATAAAATTAGAACATTAAGCTTTAACAGTAACAGTGTGAATTTTAACTGAGACTTTTCCTTTCCCACGACTGTGTTTAAATTTCGCAAAAGACAAAATGTCCTTTTTTGGGTAGGAGGAGAAAAGAAGATTTAAAACATTTTGCCCAAGAAATGGAGTTTGTCGTGGCAGACAATGTAAAAGTGATACAATTAAAAGAACTCATAACAAAATCCGATAATTATGATGAATTAGTGAAAAATATGTTTACTAATATAATAGAAAAAGACTTGAGAAAGGGAAACAAGCTGAATTAGACCATATTTCTCAAGAAGAAGCTGCTAAGGAAGAGAAATTAGCCAACGAAAAAGAAGAGCGAGCTTATGAATTGGAATGCTTGAAACTTCAACCTGAAGTTCAGAAGATACCCTTTTCCACTACAGCAGGTTCTGTTTTTGAAAATGAAAAAATCAATTGGGATCTTGAGAGAATTTTACCTAAATATGATTCTAAGGATAATGACATGACCTTGTTCCTAAATCTTTTTGAAAAACAACTAAGTTTTTTAAGGCTCCAGAAGAAACATGGGTTCCGTACTTAGTGGGATCGTTACCGACAGAAATTGGAAAATTGATTGTTCGTGAGCCAGAAGAGGAATCAAGAAATTACCAAAAGATGAAGGAAATGCTACTAAAGAGATATAAGGTCACCGCTAATAAATTCTGACAACTCTTCGCTCTACATCGGCAGAAAGCACTTGGCGTGATTTCTACTTTGAACTGACCAGTTATTTTCAAAATTAGTTTTGAGAATTAAATATTACAAAATTTGATGTTTTGAAGCAGCTCATTATAGCTACCCAAATGAAAAAGAGAGTTTCTCAAGAAATAAGAGTTCACTTTTTCTATATTTGGCCCAACTTAAACTCGACTGCAGAATTAGCAGAAAAGTTGGACACTTACAATTGCTTACATAATAATTAAAGCAAAGGTGCTATCTTACTAATTCGAAAGAAAACTTCCAATTACGAAGTATCCCAAAATCCACGCCAGTGAAGATATATACCAATGTAGCAGATAAACCAACCCTCTCAAGCTATGGTTGTGGCGAAGTTGGATTTATTAAATTGAAATGCTCAAATTGTCAGCACTCCACGAGTTCAACCTCAGCTCGTTTTGACAATATTTGTATACAAAAGTTAAGCAACACGAAGACAGCTGCAGTGATGAATAATATCTCCATCAACGGAATATATGGCACAGCTTGTGCGGATAGTAGAGCAAGTCATTCAATCACTGGTGAAAAACTGTACCAAATCTTAAAAGAAGATCAAGTAAGAAGATCGAGATGAAGTTCGACAAATCCTCTTGCATTGTTTGTCTCGCTGATGGCAGCCAAACAACGAAAAGAAGTTTGCACAACTTGTGTGAGACTTGCCCTTGAAGGAAAGGCCTTCACTTTGACACTGATAGCTCTTCCTGATCCTATAGGTAATCGAATACTGCTTGGAGAAAAATTCTTAAAGGAAGCTGGAGTAGTTTTAAATATTCGAGAGCAAATGTGGTTCTTTGGTGACAATCCAAAAAATTGTTTTCCATTTGTTGAAAGTGTTCAAGTCCAATCTTGTGACATGCTAACAAATCCTTGCCTACTACGTCTAGACGACTAGGTGAAAAATCTAACTGAAGAGCAGCTAAAACGTTTGAATGCCTTATTAGAAAAATATGAAACTATGTTCTCTCCTTGGGGAGAACCAACTCATTACATCGAGCACCAAATCGATTCAAGTGACTCCTCTCCAAGGGGCTACAACCGCTTACAGACTATCTCCAGCAAGAAAGGATATTTCGAAGAAAGAAATCTGTGCACTTGCCTCAGGCGTAATCAAAGAGTGCGATTCACCATATGCAGTCCTCGTTGTTTTAATTCGAAGCCGAACGGTGACTTTCGATCATGTAGTGACTGCAGGAAACTTAATTCTGTGACTAAGTTTGATCCATACCCGCTGCCTCTTATAGATGAACTTCTTCATAATGCAAAGCAAACTAGATACATGTCTACTATAGACTTAAAATGAGGGCATCATCATGTTAAGATGTACCCACCAGACAAAGACAAAACTGCTTTTGTACGTCAGTTTGGAGCAGTGGCGTAGCGAGGGGGTGCATACGAGCGGCGCCAAATAGTCTCCAAACAAGATTTTCCCCAAAATTTCAGTTTTTATTTTGATCAATTTCTGGAAAATATATTTAAAATTAATAACTATTGTAATATAATTAATTATTTATTTTCTTGATTTGTCTGATAAATGTGTAATATAAAATGTTTGCAGTACATTAACCAAAACGTTCTTCCTGACCACTTCATTTCTCCAAAGTAGAGATATATTTTTATTTTTTTAAACGAAATGCACGTATATGTTCCACTTTTTATTTTAAAACGATAACACGACCTTGTCCCGAATTTCTCAAACATATCCAGCTTCCAAAATTTGATTCCATAATCTGGAAATGACATTTTCGGAAAATCCTAATGCTTCCGCTACAATGGATTGCGTTTGACTCTCCTGTAAACGACTGATGGCCTTCCTGGCTACCGATTCAACTAAGTCATCTTGCTGTGACATGGTATATTCACTGCTACGAAGCATTCAACGCATGTCAATTGTTTTTAATCTATTACAAAAGGAATATTGCAGGTCGCTCCTTACTCCTTATCTAAAACGCATAGTTTTTGAAGTCACAGACTAAATTTGCATATTCCCAACTTTGTAAACACTATAATTTTCCTTTATAATATCTTCTATTTCCTTTTTTTCAAATAGGTTGTCGATTATATGGTTATTTCATGCCGAACCCACAATATCCCCTAATTGTTTTGAGCAGTGAATGTGACTGTATGACGTTCCTCCGCAGTAGAAAAGAAACGGAATACCCTTTGTGGATAATACCAACGTAATCCCACCAGATGCAAAGATAATCCAGTCCAGATTTTTGTACTTGCACTGATATTCGAGCAGTTTATTGCAGGCCCAAACACCACTGTTCCTTTCTGCTTGAGTCAGCTCATGTGGCACCCAGCGATTGAACTTGTACATGAAGTTTAGGCAAGGCATAGTGTGACTAATAGACACAACACTAACATCTAAATTCTCAGCAATCTCTCAAGTCGTTGCACACTGATCTTCGTCCACAAATTCTTGCAAGGGGGCAGACTGGGAAGAATGCTCTGCTTCTTGAATGTCATAGTCCTTATTTTTGGTACCAAACCTTCCAGTGTCATGTGATACATCATTAGTACCTAAAGCTGTACACACGATTTGGGGGTATTCTATAGCTGGCTTTTTGCGACAGAACTGGAATTAAATTATGGTTCCAATTTGGTAGCATGATAGTTCCATTTCAGACACCTTGTACTTAATGATAATATTTTTTTACAAATTAAGAACAAACTTTCCTAAAGCAAGTCTCTTTCTTTCAAATGTCAAAAATCATTTGACAAAATCTGATTAAACATGTCAATGTGAACTGTTTGCACAGAAGATATTTGTGGTGAAAGGAAACTTTCATTAAAACCCTATAATACACTTGACATATTGAAATGGGGCATTCACTTCTCAAAATCAGATAATTTATTTCTCAAAACTGTAAGTAAATATTTTGAATTCAAATTTTTTCTTTTAAAATTAATTTAGGGAATGTTAGAAGTGGATTGTTCAAATTTATGTCTGGTGGCTCATGTAAGACTAATGGAAAATAACATATTGCATGTGAGGAGTTGTAGAAATGTGCAGAAAGAGTGAGTACTATTTATTTAGTTCCAAATTATCTTGTAGTTGCCACATGGAGCAAAAATACTATTTCACAAGCCAACTAGAGTATACTTGTAGTTGCTATTTTAGTTACTACTAAAAGTAATCTGTTATATCTTTTATTATCTATATTTAAATAATAAAATGGAAAGTAATTTAAAAAGCATAAAAATGAAAAAAAATAGGATCTTGGCATGCTTAACAGCGAACGTGTTAAGGCAACTGATATAAAAGAGCCAGCTTTAAAAAGTCTGATTTTGATAAAGAAAATTTAAGAACTAGAGTCTGGGAAGGTTGCAAGGGAATGAAAAGGGAAAAAAAATTATGGAACTTCCAATAAAAAAAAAAAAAAAAAAAAAAAAAAAAAAACTGAAATTAGAACATCAAAATCAATTACAGCAGGAATATCTTTCTATTGGTAGCTTACAGCAGGAACTTTTTTTTGTTGCAATAAATTAGTCATAAACTAATTATTAAATAGCCAAAATTTAATACAATGGAGCATTCTAAATAAACTGATAAAAGGGAGTGTTTAGAGATGAAACATTAAATCATATTAATTCTATTTTAAAAATATTAGCAGACACTTTTCTGACCATTTGAGCTAAATTAATAGTATTGGAAGATTCAATTAACATTATGATTTTAATCAAAATTTATACAATTAGTAAATCGACTTGTATAGCTAGACATGTTTTCATATAGTAACCAAACATCAGTCAACATAATCTGACTACTAAATTTTTTTAAAAAGGAATAAACATTTTGTTTTGAAATAAAGTTAATATTAAAAAAGAGAAAAATCTAATTAAAATCACAACTTATTATAAGTTTATTTCCATCTTCTGTCAACCAATATACAAATATTTTTAGCAATATAAAAGGCATAATGCAATTTATCATTCATTTCAACAAATTTCCCTAAAATACAGGTAAATTCACTCAGTACATAGAACGTCTTCTCGTTGAAGTGCGCCCACGACGACCCGATGCAGACCAAACAGCTTCTGTGCCACGTCCTCGAGAATAATTTCCACCAGCAGTAGGGTACCTCATTCGCCTCACTCGGGCTCTTCCTCTTCCAGGTGTGGGTAAAAGACCAGAGGAAGCGGAGGAGGTTCCAGCAGATACTAATTCAGATGTTTCTGAATCTGAAGTAGCATCACTTTTTTTCCTCCATACGATTGGTTTGCGTCGAGAAGTTTGGCTTGAAGAAGCATCTGAGACAACACAATTGCATTTTTCAAAACATGAAATATTTTCATATTAACATCATATATTTGAAAGTAAGATGCAGATTAAAAATGTTAATTACATTATTTTCACTCAATCTTCCTAATGCTAATGAAGAAGATAATTTTAGCTTTACAGCAATAAAACATAAACTATTTAAGTCTTATATTAATCAAATAGAAAGAAATAAAGCAATCCTAATTCAAATTTAATTTAAAATAGTATGGTATATGATGGCATATGATGTTAAAAACCTTTGTTAGATTGGTCAGAATCTGGAGTTGCATCAGTTTTAGCACTTTCTTCTGCACTTTGGCTTTCACTAGTAGGAACTTCATGTTTACCTAGAAATTTGGAGGGGGAAAAAATTAGAGAAATTTATAGTATTTAATTTTTGTATAATATTCTTTAAAAACAATAATAAAAAAACAGATATTTGCATTCCTAAAAAGTCATGGAGAGATTAAGAAATAGATTTTTATAAGAAAATTACATATTTTGACTTCAAAATATGCATCATCAGTAATTGGTTTTCATATTTTATAACTGCTTATCTAACATAGTTCCTTGTGTTTCCCCCCTTAATTAACTAATTTTATCACCCAAAAACAGAGAGGAGAAAATTTATGCTAGTAATTTTTAAATAACATAGCTGCAGCAAGAACATAACAAATGAAAAATAGCCATAGTTAAACTACTGGTAACTATCACAATATTCCTTTAAAATAAACTTGCATCCCATACATACTGATATTAATATTACAATATTTGATGGATATTCAGCTAAAATCTGATGATAATTGAGCCATCCAGATCACGCTCTGACTGAACTACAGTGTAAAAGGCCCAGGAACACTTCACATGAATGAGTTTTGACTGCAGTTCTCAAGAAGCTCACTGAAGAAACGAAAGAGAAGGGGGCAAACTAAAGACTTGAATTTTAAAAGAACAAACACATCAGCAGTAGATAAGATTGCAATGAGATGGAACGTAAATAATAGAAGTAAGGTGAAAATAACATGTCTGAAAAGTTTCTTAAATGTGAGAACACCTGCCACATCCGAGCAGCTTCACAAGGCATTTGCACAAAATACGTTTCAAACAATAAATGAAAGGGAAAATAAAATGGATGAACAAATACAAAATGCAAATATAAATTGCTAATACAAAAATACAAGTGCAAAATAAATAATACAATGAATAAAAATAATCAAGCTATTTAACAATGAACTAGCCCTAAGAGTGAAAAACTACATACAATACAAGAAGGGGACATTATGTGAATATTTAAAAATTTTTCAAAATTTCTAGTTCTAAAAGTCTAGGAAGAAAATTTTTGCTAACAAAATATGGTCAAGATCTCAATTGTTACATTTTATGGGTTTAAAACTTTCTTAGTCAATTCTTCCATGCTGATAAGAGAAATCTTTAATAAATAGATATCCTTAAATGGCAACCAACAAAATATACTTTTGATTAATAGTCAAATGAAAATTCCATGATTATGTAACAGAATGTGAATTCCATATACAACTTTCACATGTGTAAATTTTCACAAACTCTCCATCAAAAGCCAATAATTTGTTTTCATCTTGGAAATCAATGATTATATTTGCTTCAAATAGATCTTAAGAGATGACAACTCATAAGGTGACAGACATTAGACACAGAACTCTTCTTTGAGCAGAAGAATAACAGAACAAAAATATTGTTGCCAAACTTGAGTTTTAAAATAAAGCTTTATCACAGAATTTGACTATAATAATATTAAAAATGCTAAAGTTAATTAAATAGTAATTAAAATATCATTAAGCTCAATTGATGAACTTTATAAAGACAGTAAATAATCATTAAGTAGACATACTGCTTTAAAAGGAAGCGTTTCTACCTTGAACGTTGTAATAAGTTTCAAATTTATCATGATAAAAAAAAAAGGCTACTGGCCTATGTGTAAAAGCTGGGCTATAGTAATCCAAATCTCACAAGGAACTATACATACAGCTTGTCCAAATATATGTTTTAAGGAAAACTATGAAACTAACCATAGAGGCCACTCTATTCTACCAGAAATGGAATTATTAGATATAAAACTATTAGTTCATAATGCTTTAATTTTCTTTTCTTCTTCTTTTTTAAAGAGAAAAAAAGCAACTTAATGTTTTGTATCTATTTTCAACAACGGCAGTTGTTTATTTATATGATGAATAATAACATAAATTTTCCTTTTTAAGACACAACAGAAATTTCTACGTATTATAATCTCAATAAAGATTTGTACTTTATATTACGCAAGCAAAATTTTTTTAAACAAAATTCTTGAATTATTTAAAGCATTAAAATGAGAAATTTAATAGTTTGTGTGCATATTTTATGATCTATGGCAGTAATGATCATGTGTTTATTACTCTGAATATTCAAAATTGATTTTGTTACACCATTAAAAAATGGGTAAGCAGGCTGGTTTATCTGATCTAACATCAAAGTAAGCATTGTAATAAGTTTTCTGCATAGTTAGTCTTCAATCACAACATTTTATTTAACAGTAATGTTTGTATTTGAAGTTGAAAGCCTTTTAGATGGCTGACTGAATTTAGGTGAGGTTACTTTTCGGGAAAAGTCAGGGGTAAATTTAAAAAAAAACTCAGCTATATATGATAGCAGAGAATGAAAAATTAACACAAAAACTAATATTTGCTAAAGCAATTATTTTACGTAAATTAAAGTTCTTACTCTCAGATGATGCAGATGCATCTGAAGGCTGTGTATCTAATTGTGTTGTCTTGTCTTCTTCAGATTTTACTTCATTGCCATCAGTAGTAGCAGATGCTTCTTCTGAAGCTTCACTATTATGAAATAACACGGTAAAACAGTTATGATTTTAAACATGTTATAACAATGATAAATTTTTTACAGAATTTATACTGTAAAAATTAATTAATTACTTAATATTTATGCTTAAAAGAGTAACTTAATAAAGATAAAAATATTTTACCAAAATTTACTCAGAAACTGCAGATACTTTAAAATCTTAGGACAAGGTAAGAGAAAAATGCACTTTAAATTATAATATATTTCATTAACATAAGGTTTTTGCTGAAATTTTATATTATAATGCAGAATAATAAAAATTTAATAAAATTAGAATATAGAGCCAACTCGCTTTTAAAAAATGTGGGCTTTAATTTTACATTTTTAATTTATTAGTCATTGGTTTACATTTATTTATTTCTACAGCTCATTTAATAGCGTTTCTCGTACTTGCACATTATTCCACACTTGAAAAGATTAGCAACATCAAGTAGCTGTTTTATGCAAACAACTTCAGAATGTATTGCATAGTTAAAAGGATTTCCAGTGACTCTTATGTATGTTTTTTTTCCATGAACATAATCAGATTAATTATGATTTACGATTATATAAAAAATTTACAATTTTTATATAATTGTAAATCATAATTAATCTATCTATACAAAATTTACAATTTTTATATAATTGTAAATCATAATTAATCTATCTATAAAAAATTTACAATTTTTTAATACAACTATGTAAAAATTTAATTTTTTTTAATTCATTCAACTAGAAAAGATGCAATTAAAATTTGGAAGCCACGATCATTTTCGAAAACATGTAATCACATCATGGAAAAGTAGTGCAAAAATGGTTAATAAGTTTGGAGTCAGATTGTGAAGCTATATTTAAACTGTTGCCAGTATGATTTTTCTTCAGATGAAATGTAGTTTAATAATAGCTTTCCGTATTTTAACAGCAGATTCTATCATGTAAGAAATCAAATATGTTTGCTAATTTAGTTCACATTAGAAATTCCGGTACTTGCGGATTAACATAACCACTTCGGTGCAGTTTGACTATTTTTTTTTACACATGAAAAAGTAAGTTTTTTATCAGGTGTGAGTTGGTGGTTTTCATGACTTTTCTAAAAATGATTGCTAAACTATCATTGTTTGTCTAAACTGGCAAACATTATCAACATATGAAAAGAAGACACATTTTAGTAATTTAAAATAAGAATTTCAATTACTAAATAAGGATAATATGATGCAGTGAAAAAATAAAACATAAATTCTTCTCCACATCTTTCTGAAATTTTTTTGTGCTATTCTTCTCCCTAAGTATACAGGAATCTGTTTTCGCTTAAAAAAAAAAAAAAAAAAATTGCAGACCAAGCATTGTGTAAACATTCACAACATAAGCTCTCTACAAAACAAATTTTCTTGTTATTCCCATTAGTGATTTTGTAGCAAAATTTTGTATTCTTGTCAAAATGTTACTGGAGTTTCTTGTATTGCTAACACATTCTACAAATTAAAATTTTAAAATCAAATTTAAGAAAGGGGGAATATCCCAACTTGTTTGTGAAAATTGTTAAAACTTGGAATACAACAAAATAAATGCACTCAAAATGTGATAACATATAAGGACCAAAATTCTTGGCAACATGAAAATATAATCAACAGTCAATGGTACTAGCATGCCCACAAATGGGCTAATATACAAAACCCCTCCTTATTTGTTGTTCGTATTATTTAATTATTATCAAAGTTAATTTATTATCAAAGATACTAATGAATTTAAATGAATATTTTCCCCAGTTTATTAAAATATTAATAAGTTACAATAATTGTAATAGTAAAGTTTATTTTCTTATATTCCGCATCAGAAGAATAATTATTATAATCAGCACCAAACTAAAACTATAAGTCTTCAAAATATTTTTACAATAATAATCATTTAAAGAAGACTTTTTACGTTATAATGCTTATATGCACCTTAGAAAATATTAATGTTCTTTTCTTGTCATATAAAAATGCTAAAAAATAACCTATGAAAAAATTCAAATGAAAATAGCACAAAATATACATCTACAGTTTTAGGATGGTGCTGAGACACATTTAAAAACTTTATCTCTCTCTTCTTCTTCTTTTTTAGTTTGATTACTCTATGTTATTTTGAGATGACTATCCTATTACTTGATTTGGCAGTAATGAGAAGGCTGAAACAACTCAGCAGATTTTATGACTTTGTGTACACACATGCATACTAATACCTCAGCTGATCCTCTTAAAAGTGTCCACCTCCAAAGAACGCTAAGCAAATCAAAAGTAAAGCGGTTCATATGACAATTTAAAAATGTAATCAAAAGTATTACATTTTTAAATTGCCATATGAAGTATTTTAAATAAAAAAAAAAAAACCACAAATACAATAAGGCTAAAAGCAGTATTTAACAGTGAAATGCCAATTTCAAAATTAAAAATATAATAATTAAATATTAATTTTTATTAATACAAAACCTGTAACACAAATGACTTTGTAACACATTATATCAGTTGTTGAAGAAACAAAACATAAATGAAATAGAGATAATTCAATACTCACATTTTGGAACTATTTTGGGATGTTCCAGCATTATTTGAAGTTTCATCTACTAAATCAACTTTGATAACAGGAATAGTAAAATCATTGTTAGCAATACCTACATCAACTTCTAAACTGGATTCTGATACTTCAGGAACAGTTGCTTCAGCTATAAACACAAGAAAAATGCTTTAAAAAGTACATCTTTAAATAAAATTCAATGAGAAACATAAAAGAAAAAATCAGAATTAAGTTTTTTTAAAAACTTTCAATTACATAATGGATGTCTTGAAATAAATGCAACACATTCAAAAAAAAGGGGGGGGGTAAAATTTGTTGATTACAAATTTGTGTGATAATGAATACATTTTTAATCTGAAGATATTCCTATGCTAATAAATTTTACCAATAAATGAAACTTCATTCACTCAGTGTTCAGGTCATTATGGACATTAAATTAATTTAAATCACATTTTCAAAAGGTTCACTAACATACTGCTGAAGAATGAAATTCATGTGCACTTTTTCTAAGATACAATTAGAATGGACTCTTATACATTGATGATGAATTATTTAAATATTTTCAGTCTCAGATTTTTAATATTCAATTATTATTTATTTTTAATATTTCATAAAAATTTATTAATTTAGAGATATCTTTTTATCTAAATTTTATGAACTATCACACAATACATGTAGAAAGGTTTTTTCAGCTTATTCCTTTTAAAATTTATAATGTATATTTCAAAACATCATAACTACAAAAATAGGACCTACTTGGAGGTGAAACTTGCAGTGGAGTAGATGGAACTGTTCTGCCTCCACCCTCATCAAATTGAGATAGATCCATTCTAGTATCATCTACTCCAAGGGCTATATTAAAATTAATTACAGTTAGTATGAAACTTCAGAAAGTAAAAAGTATCTTTGAAAATAACAAAAAAAAAAAAAAAAAAAAAAAAAAATTATCTTGAACACATGTACTAGTTTAAATAACTCTTTTATTATTAAAAGTTTAAGAAATTTGGGGGGAGGGAACACAGTATGTTGTGGATGGTTCAAAGAGAGTCCTAAAGTCTTTTTAATAGACTTCTTTCACTATTCTCAAGAGTTTTGAAAAAATTACCCTCATTTTTAAATGTTGACGGATATGTATTTAAAAATTACCTCTCTCTCTCTCCTTTTTTTTTATTCTATGTTACTTTGAGCTGACTATCATACTACTTGATCTTGCAGAAGGCTGAAACAACAGATTTTATGACTTTGTGTACACACACATATGCATACTAATTACCTTGGCTGATCTTCTTAATGTACTCTCCCCCCCCAAACCAAAAAAAACAGTCCTAAGAAAATTAAAAGTTAAATAGGATCAATTACATTTTTAAATTGTCATATAAAGTACTTTAAATAAAAAGAACACAAATAAAATAAGGTTAAAAACAATATTTAAAAGTGAAACGCCAACTTTAAAATTAAAAAAAATAATAATAATTAAATATTCATTTTTATTAATTGTTATGTATATAATTCATTATAGATTACATAGGTACATTTTAACAAAAGGGGATTCTTACTTCATTACATACATATTAACCTTCTCGCTGCGCATCCCGCGATTTCCACGGGCAATGTAGAAGTAGCAAAAGTTGTGCAACCCGCAATTTCCGCGGGGATGAATTTTTGTCGTCTATTTAACTGTGCAACCCACTCTTTCCCAGTTCAAGGTTTCCTTTCAGCTTTTCTGTGATGTTTAATTGTTTATTTAGATGTGGGTTAACAGATGGCGTTAGTTGTCCACATTTCTGCCAAATATGCAAGAATACGTAATGTAGCATTTTGTGCGAGCTTTTCAGAGCTCAAAGATGTCTGGCAAGAAGCGTTTCGAAGTGATATAACCTACATTCCTGACAATATTTCTGACTCTGATTTCAAGTACAGTCAAAAGTCGTTAATCCGGACTCGTTGGGACTTCGGTGGTTCCGAATTATCGATTTTTCCGAATTATAGATCATCACTTTAAATCTGGTAAGATGGCATGCAGAAATTACAAAATTAAAAATATGAAACCGTAATTTATGAAATAAAGAACAATTATGATCTAAAGGGTATCAAAATATACAAAAAGAAAAAGCTTAATATTTATTTGTTTACTTTGGTAGGGTACGAACTGCACCAAATTTGATCAAAAATCCTTGTCCCCCTCTTTTCTAATCAACGAACTGCGCGACGTTTCTTGACCCCTATTTCTTTCCCAAGAAGATTGGGTGCTACAAAAAGTCATTTATCGCCGTTAATGGGACATTCTATTGAGACTGCAAGTGCCTTTGTTTTCGTTTATCAATATTGTAAAAATTGTGCATGCAAAACAAATATTAATTTAAAGTCTGGCGTGTGCTAAGTAAAAATAAATTTCTTTTACCTCATTTTAAAGTTTTATGATGTTAAAGCAATGATGAGACAGATCTTTTTTATCTCTGTAAGAATTAAAAACTTTCCAAGTTGTAGATTTTAATCGCTGATATATATATTAAATATCAGTTTGGAATAGTAAACTTGATAGATTAATGACATACACAAAACTGATACATAATCAAGTATCAATATCGGATTTTTAGCTCACCTTAAATAAGTTTTTGTCTAGAATAAATATTAACAAATCTTCTTAGATAGCAGAATGGTTTTAACTTTCAAATTTAACCATTTTAGGTAAACAGGTTCTAATTTAATTATAACAATTATCTTTATTAAATCTAAAAATTGGACTTCTTAAGTCATTCTAAATTTACACAAATAATATTGAAATATATTCCCATATTAAACTTTCCATTTTTAGTCATTGAAGATATTTTAAGGTTACTTTACTTTGTTACAAATTCCATATTTTAATACTAGAAACGTTTAAATATTTATTCTGTTTTCCATCTGATGTACTTTGGCATACATTTAATTTCTAATACACATTTAATAAATAAATTAATAATTATGAGCATCTGCAGAAAAAAAAATCAAACTCTCTTATATTCATATCCTGGGATTTTCAGTTCCCTTTTAATCCATTCCTTTTTCACATATTGTTGCACTGTACTCAAGTTTTCATGTATGTAGAATTTATATACTTTGTATTGTATTTATGCCAATTTATATTAAAAGATAATTTTTACAAATTCCTTGCAACACAACTCTAGTTAACAGAAGATGTTTCTAACACCTTGGCAAAGCTTAATCTTCAGCATGTAGCTTGTTTTCTAACTCAGTTTCAGGCTGAATTATTTGTAAAATTAATTACTTGAAATTATTTGTTAACAAAGATGGTGGCTAAATCCCACTAATAATATTTCTAACTGTTGAAATTTATAATGCAATTTTTTCATCAGTATTGAAATTAATAGCAGATACTGATACTGTTATACATTTAGATTACAATGATTTAGATTGCCATTGCCTTCTTTACTCATGCTTTTATGCTACATTCCTAATATTTCATAATAGCATACAGATAAGTTTCACTCATTCCTTAAGCATGTAAATCTCTAATTCAGCCCACTTTTGTTCTTACGCGTGCTGTATCTTCTATTTTCTTTAATATATTGTTCAGCCTAATTTCAAAAGGTCTTATGATCAAGCGGAAAAGTCACTAAACATTGGTAGTTCGACCCGAGTTTCTAGTCCTAGTGAAGTTTATATGGATATCAATAAATTAAGGATTATTTCTCCATCTAATTTTTTTAACATGTTTATTCCAGAATTTTTTCACACTGTAGCGCTTAACTTTATGAGTTTTCTATAACCATTCAATTTCTCTAGTCATGGCAACTTTGCATACCTTCTGACAAGTACTTATATTTTTAACCACTGTATTTTAATTCAACCAGTACATTATTCACTTGTTTCACAAGTGCAACTTTTATTTTATATGCAAATCTACGTAAAATAGCATTAAAATTTCAGTTATGCTGAGCTCCTCATCGATTGCTTGTTTTAGATTGAATGAAATTAAGCTTAATGTTACTGTTAATAAGGTTGTTATTAATTTAATTATACATTTCTAATTAGTTATATACTCAGAAATTTCCAAGTATATTACTCAAACTTTTGCATCCCAATTTTTAATTTTTGGTTAAAAAATAAACTTTTATTTATTGAGAGGCCTGACTGATTATATTAATTTGCAGTATTGTTTATCTAATTCCTTTCTTCTAGATAAATCTTAGAAAAAAACTTCTTAGCATAATAATTTAAATTTATTTACAATTTATACATCAGTGTTTCTAAAAATGCATAGTAATGTTGTTATAATAGATTCATGCTAAGCTTTTTTTAAATTTAACTAAATTTAATTTCTGCAAACATTTACATGATTACTTTAATTAACAAAAAATATTAACACACTTTGATATGAAATAATGTTTTGCATGCTAGTGAACTCTTTTAAATTTTCCAGTCTAGTGCAGGCATCTTGACTATTATTGATGTAATTTATTAAAAATATTTGTATGCTTTATAATTATTTAATTTATGATATTATTACAGTAAATGAAAGATGTTTGTAGTGCTAATATGTATGTTTAAAATACCTTTTATTTTCTTTGTTAGCTCTCGTATTTATTACTGTTATTCAAGTAATTAACCTGCTTGTTAGATACTTTTTACTTGTTCTTGTGATATGTAATTCTATTTATTTATTTTTATTTTTCTCTTGGCTACAATTGGCTTCAAAAAGTTAAATTGTAACCCTGTAGGCAGAAGAAATTTTGATTGGCGCAGTTGGATTGGACTATAGCTCGACCCAGGGGGATTTTCATTAGCGCAGTTGGAGTACACCCGTTTACTTTATTAAACATTTGTTTCAATGTAAGTTTGTTTAGGTTGCTTCATTTCATGTGACAATACTTTCTCTTTAACTCTATTAAATAGACATAATTTCTTGTTTAGTTACAAAGTTCCGCTGTTCAAGTCCTATAATTGCTGTGTCGAGAATACCGACTAATTTGTCAATCGAAATGTTTTCGTTTTCAATAACCTCTCTGTCACTTTCTTCACTATCGGAAGCGAATTATAATGATGAGGAACTTGATTTAAATCATATCAAAGACGGAGTACATTGAGATGAAATACTACATTTAGTAAGGAATTATAAGCCAAATAAAATAAAAACATCTGCCCTGAAGATAAGGATAGTGCTGACAGATCAAATTCCAATTCATTGAGAGCCGCGGAGTTCCCCCGCCGAGCAGCGTGAAATTGATAAACATATTTCGATATGATTTTGAATTCCACACACATTTTGCTTTAGATCCTTTACATATTAGTAAATATATATCGAAAATTCTATTTGATATAATCGAAAGTTCAAGCTTACTTTTATAAAATTGCTGTAACAGTCTGGATCCAAAAAATAATAAGCCAGATCCAATTCTAAGATTAAGGAACAACGCAATCTGCAACATTAACTGACATTAGATAATTTTAGCTTAGCTTATACCTATCCTGTTATACATTAAACGCGCATGCGCATAAACGTATTATGCGAATTGCGTAAACGCATATGTCGTATGCCGTAAAGGTATGATGCACATGCGTAAAACACATATGCGCATGCAATTCAAAGTTTACGCATGCGCAGAAAGTTTGTAGCTTTGAGGCTCGGGTTATAGATCATTCTGGATTATGGACGTCCGGATTAAATGACTTTTGGCTGTATATTGAAGATAGTTATAGCGAAACTGATGAGAATTTCTCGGATTCCTCTGCAGATAGTGATGAATCTGAAAATTTAGTTTCTTTTGAAAACGTTCAACAGTGGTAAAAAAATTATATGCAAAATATTACATTATGCAAATATTTTCATTAGTATATATGCTTTAGATTTGTATTTCATAAAATAAATCATGATTTAACCAATATTAATTTTCAAAATTTTCCTTTTATACCATTATTCTTCAATTTCAGTATTCTGACAACCTTTTTCTATGATCTAATTCTATATTGAAAAAAAACTCTTTTCCAAAAAAAAAAAATGTTGTATATTTTAACTCTAAAATATATGCGTATATTTTAACTCTAAAAGGGTTAATTTTTTTACTCTAAAATATATGTAGATTTGAAATATGTAATAAAAAATACGCAATTTTTGAACCTATCTTGATTTTAAAAAAAAGTACGCAGTGAGTTGGGTTAAGAATAAAAATTATTTTTATAAAGCTTTTTTAGGAAGGCATAGCTTTCAGCCAGTATTTCTTCATAACAGCAAATGGAATCTAAAATGCCTCTTCTTGGCTTTGAACTGCGATTCAAATTTGGATCATGTTCCAAAGACTCATCCATTATTTTGGTAAGAGTTTCAATGATCTGTTGATTTATCAACAAACTTTTCTGTCAATTTTTTGAGCAATATTTTCTAAAGCATTTGCAGTGCATAATTTGCCTTCTGATCTATTTATATTGCCTGTCAAATCTTTTAGTTCTTCATGATTGGCTTTCTCCATTAGATTCCAGCAAAATCTTAATTTCCAATTCAACTACTTTTTCCATTCCTGCTTCATGAACCAAAGCATTAATTGTAGTAACGATTTTATTTCTCCCCACAGTTTCACCAACATACCAAATATTTGCCCAAATGCCTTTCCAAACTTTATTCATACACTTTAAAAAGTAAATTCACTCCGTGATTGTTTTATATTTTGTAATGCTTCTATGATGTTGTAATTTTACCAAAATTGCATGACATTTACTTCGTTAGAATCAGTTTTGTCAGTAAAATATTGAAATATTGCAATTTGATCTGTAAATTGTATAAGCAACATTGCATTTGTTGGCAAATACATATCTTTCACTGGAATACAAATATAGGAAGATTCTCAATTTTTTGGGGGTGGCCAGAAACATCTTTCAAAGGAGGACTTAAGATTCAGTGTTGTTGCCACAGCAATAATGCTTGGCTGATGAATAAAATTTGTTTATAATGCAATTTTCAAAACTTCTATAGTGACCCAAGCTTTTCTGTTTGATCACCAAATAACGTCAAGTTTACCTATTCATTTCAGGGACCTTGTTGTTTCAGAATGATACATAACAGGCTTGAGTCTAAAATCCTCTTTTGCATTACCTCCTAAAGAAGAGGTGATTCTGTGTTTTGATGCTCTAAATCCAGGAGCATGCTCTTCATCTCATGAACTATATGTATGAGATGGCATCCACTTCCAAAATAAACCGATTTCATCCACAATGAACACAACTTATGGTGAAAAGTTAGCATCAATAACCATTTTCTTTAAAATTTGTGGAAATTCTTCTGCAGCATCATTGTTAGCACTAGTTACCTCAACAGCAATCCTCAAGCAGTGAATGTTACTTCATTTTTGAGTTTTTGAATCAATTCCACCTTCCTTGACTAGACAAAAGTTATCCATTTCTTATACATTAAAAAATGCTTTTGTCTTAATTATAACCTGACTGAAAAGAGCTATGTGTTGTTTCTTGACTGAACCAAGGTCTAAGCCATCTAGCCACCATTTCAAAAACTGAGTTTCTTCATTTTATATATATATTTTGCTAACATGGTAACTTTAAGGAACTTGTGATGTCAGTTTGTTATTGCTCACCTTCAAATCAAATACAGCTTAACTGCAAAGAAGATTTTTAAGTCAAGGTTTAGTAAAAAATAAATAGTTAAATTTATGCTATAATTTACAATATTAAACTTTTAATAGATAGAAAGTTCATCAACAAACAATACACGAAGAGGAATGATCAAGTAGAAAACTAAACTTTAAGGGATGTGCATATATATCAACATATCCAATTATCAGGCAAAAACCTCCACTGCCACCGTGAAAGCTTAAATTTGCCCACTAATGAGTAGGAGGAATCAGGTTGACTGTCCCTGTTCTATACAATAGCATGAAGAGTTCAAAGAATAAAAAGGTGTTAATTTTTTAGCTTTAACTAACATTAAAAGATTGTAAAAATTCAACAGACAAAGGAGACATTTACATGGATAAAATGCAACAAAGCACACTTCAGTTATGATTCAAGTCAGACCTGAAAAATAACTGCAAAATGCTGATAATAAATTTATAAAATAATATAAAGAGATTAACTACTGAGACCTTGAAACAACAGATAGATCAAGTGTTCTCAACCTATTTTGCCCCCCTATGCACCCCTTTCATCACTGCTAGATCATTCCCTTCTTCCTTTCCAAAACTCAAAAAATACATATAGACATTTATTTATTTAGACTAAGATTACTTTTAAAACCTCTTTTGTAAATTAAACAAAAATAAAGAAAATTGTGATCAATACCAAAAGTTGAATAAAACTAGTTTTTTTTATATTCAAAAACTACATATTTAACAGCTAAACAAACAGCTGATCACATTCCTCCTGAAGCTATGAAATTCCCCCCTCTCAGGGAAGAATTCCCGTCTGGATGAGAATTACATGAATTGGCTAACAGCTTATCTGAAGTCTATTTTATGTTGTTACTTATTTGTTATATGTAAATAAAAAGCATGGACCATTACTGTTTTAGACATTCTTTGCACTCTTTTATAACATGATCTGTGAAACATTCAAATTAATACCTTAGTCTCATTCACAAGCAGCACATTTCATGCAAATTGTGAGGTATATAAATGTTAATAAATTTGTTATCCCATCCATTCACATCATTAGAGATAAATAAATACCTGTTGTCACTCCCATGTTTGATACAATGCACAAGAGAAAGTCCAAGACAGATTTATTACAGAATTTTTTTATCGCTAATTCCGTATCAGGTACACACAATTCAAATAATATTCAAGACTACTAAAAATTGTGAAGCATCTTGAAATCAGCACTCCATTTTTCTTCTCAAATTTTCAAACAACATATGAGTTATGACAAAACATTGATTTTATGATAAATTTGCCAATGTTAAAATATCTTAAACTAATTATAATATCACACTGATCAGATGAATTAAAATTCTCACTTATCCCTGAAAGATCAATAGCTAAAATACTTTGAAGCAATGTTGTGCAGAGAAACTAGAATATGTTGACTCAATGGCAGTGATGAAATAGCATATATGCAATTAAATATTTGGATCTCAATCTTATATACTAACTTCTCCCACAAAGTGCTTTAACATCTTCAGTCAGATTCTATGCAAACTCAAAATTATTTTAATCAGCAATCATAACTCAGTATCTTTTATACCAGTAAATTACCCAGCATCCAATACCCAGTACCAATTCAGAGCAATTCTCCATATACACCCAGCTTTAGTTCAATCAATAACTAATTTATTTTGAAGCAACATTTGTCCCTAGAAGCTGAAACATGTTGACTGAATCCTAGAGATAAAATACATTCAATTAAATATTTGGATTTCAATCTTATATACAAACCCTCTACCAAAAAAATGATGTAACATCTTCAGTCACATTCTATGTACACTCAAAATTATTTTAATCAGCAATCACAACTCAGGCTCTTTTAATACTGGCCATTGTGGCTGTTCTTTGGACAGTCAGGTGAGCTGGGCTTCACCCACATTCTGGTATGGTACCCAGTAATCATTCAGATCAATTCTCCATAGCTTCTCAGCTTTAGTTCAATTTTTAAACTACACAGTTCTCTCTTACAAAGTTCAGTAAATAAATACCAGTTCACTCTTTGAAAGCATCTGCTTATGTAAAAATACAAGGTTTAACCTAAATTGCATATTATTTATACCCAATTCATTTTCTGAAGCTGGGAAGTAAAATGTTAATTTAATAATATGATTTTATTTCACAGACAACCATCTTAGGAATATATTAGACCTACTTGCAACTAAATAGACAGTAGTTACCCCCTACTTGCTATTAAATGAATAAATGCAAGTTGCCAATGTAGAAATGGACTAATAAAACTGAAACTAGCACAGAAGAAATATTAAATAATAAGAGAAAAAAATACCTCCTTGACTAGCTAGCTGTGATAAACCTTGCTGTGTAGGAGAACTTTCAGAACTGCTGAACAGGAATCTAACTTGAGGAACGTGTGGGGAGCTGAAAATAAATAAATAAAGGATACAAATCTTAATTAAACACCACTATCTAAAATAATAACAGCATATAAAATACACAAATTTTATTTATTTATTGTTTACAAATAAGTATAAAAATGAAAACCTCCTCATAAGATTTGGAGATTAAAATGTTCAAAGAGGTTATTAAAGCAAATCATAGAAAATCATAGAAACTTAGATATTTGATCGACATTTCATTTATAATAAAAATGTAGTGTGATCAATTAATAACTTGAAAGTCAAAAACAGATCTGATCTAACATAATTATTTTCCTGTTCCGCTTTGATATCAATAGTGGAAGATGTTGGAGATCTTTTTCATTCTCACTGAAACTTAACGTTGAACTTCTTCTGAACTACGATTTTACAGTTTTACTCTGATGGCAGAAAATATTCAAGTCCTTTCTTCCTAATCTGTTCATCCACTCTGCTGCCAAAGCCTGTCTAATACTTTTTTTATGGTAAAACAAGATTTTAGTCAATAGGTAGCAGAAGTTCTACTCTTTATGTATCCTGGAAGTTATGTGCTTTGATATGAACAAATGATTTCGCATTGCATCTACAGATGTTGCAATGTTGCCTTATCTGCAAATATATGGTATATAATGATTGCATAGTTTTTTTTACTTTATTATGGGAAGTTATTAACACTAAGTTTTATTCATCCTGATTTGCCATTAAAACTTCGAATGGTAATTATGTGGCAAACGTTTTACAAACACATGAGTGGTTCAGACTATTATCTGTATACTGACATGCTTAAGCTTTAAGCTTTAGGAACAGTTATACTTGTAATTGAAGTTGGGCTTCTTTGATGACAGTGAAAGAAGTGAATCTCAAAACAATCAGAAAAAATTGGAAAAAATAGAAGAAGCTGCAAGAAATGAATTATGATAAATCCACGAGGCTATAAAATAGGATAAATGTTTTAGTATTTTTTTTAATTATTTCTATTATTTATTATAAACGCAAAGTAATTTAACAATTTTTCCTCAAAAATCCAGTGAAAAGTTTGGTAGACTTCTTATCCATTTACTGATCTGGTACGTCTTTAATTTTTCCTCTTTCAAATATGTTGGTCCAGTAAGAAAATTATCACTTTGTTTAATTTTTTTTTAAATCATATACAGTGAAAATCATTTAACATGAAACTGAGGTGACTGAAATATTTTTTTGCTTTAAAAGAATTTTGTGTTAAAGGATATTGAAAAAAATATCTGTCATAATTGGAGCTGCACACACATTATCATCACCTACTGCAATGAATTCTTTTAATGATACAGTAGGACAGTCAAATAATACAGAAACTTTCTCAAACATTTTATTAAGTGTCGGTTCAGTTTCAATATGATCCTTCTCCCTTTCTTTTGGCGGGAACCAAACTCACTGATTTTAACACACACTGTGATATACTGGTCACTGAATTCCAAAACCAACTGATGAGAGATGAGATGTTTTTGTGTGGCGTTTGTAGGGATGGAGGGTGAAAGTAGCTTAAATAAACAAAATCAGTTCATGTCACAAGCTATTCCGAGGTTACTTCAAAGCCAAGTTAGCCTCCTTTCAACGAAACATGTGAAACCACCTTTGTTTCATTTCACACCCCTCTTAAATCTCGCCTACGCTGCTGGTGTCTTCCATATTTTGTTCCTTCCCATAAGGCAAATTTTTCATGTTGAGCAATTTTCATTTTGTGTTAGGAGAAAAAAAAAAAAATGCATGAAAATACATAGTAGTTTCATGGGACCATTGTATTATTTTGTGTTAACTGATATTTCATCTTAAGAATTTTCACGTTAAATGTATTTCATTGTATATTTAAAGTTTTTAAAAATTTGTATATTTCATGTGTCTGACCACATTAAAGAATAATTTATCTACTTCATTCTGCTTAAATTATAAGCTTGTTGTTTCAAAAATAGTTTTGCATTATCAGTTTATTCATTGAGTAGTTCAAAAACATGACTGCCCTGTTACATTATGTCATCACACCAAGCCCATGAAGAGAAGTTATGAGATATACGTAACACTGATAATTATGAGATGCTTTAATTTTTGAATTCTTTTAGTTTATTCGTTTATACTTTTTAAGAAATTTTTTTTCCAGTATTGAGTTCTTGTTGTTCTGAAATGGTTATAAATTTATTCATTTATTTATATCATAGCTGCTATTAAATTTGCAGGAGCTTTTGGTGCATTTTTTAGTTCAAGTTTCATCAGAGCTTATTATCCCTCCCCCTTTCATTTTTTAAAATCTTCAGCATATATAACACAAAAGTGGCTGCTGCAAGCATGCAAATAAGCCTAATTAAATTACATGTAATATGTATATATATATTCGAAGATGTATTACATGTAATATGTATATAATATGTATATATTGCTTTACGAACATTTATTCATTTTGGATATTGCTTTTATAACATTCAATAAAATTAATTTTAAATAAATATACACAAAAGCACTTCTGTTATTTTACAAAATCTAAAACAGATAACAATGTGCTGAAACAATAATAGCACTTAATGTTTTGATGCAACTGCTATCACAAAAGCTAAGAAGAGTGCAATTTTTGTACAGATGTTTAAAATTTTACTAGAAGCATTTTGTATAATTCATGTAGCTTCCATTAAGTTTTAATACCTCAGACATTTTTAATAACTCAGATTTCTCAAACTCTTAAAGTTAATACTATTTTTGAAGAGACTGCACAGAAAATTTATCAAGAAATAAAAAATGAAAACATGCATACCTTACAGCTTCAGCAAAACCATCAGCTCGTCTTGGAACATATAAAGTAGGAGTAGATGGAACAATACTGTCATCACCTTCCTCAAAATTTGAACCCTGGCCCTAATTAAAAAAAAAAAAAAAAAAAAAAAAATTGTAATTTAACAGACAAAAATTATGAGCACTTAATTTGGCAGAATTTTTTAAAGTATCAACGGATTTAACTCTACTAAATTTATATCAATGATATATAAAGTCTAATTACATAAGACTAATAAAGCACCTATTATTACTTTTATTGCTCTTAAAATAATAGCTCTTAAAATAAAATAAAATTTCTTGCTCTTAAAATAATAGTCAGATTATAACCGAAATTGCGATTTAATGCTTTCATTGCAATTTAGCACTTCACAATGCTCATTTGCGAAGCGGGTGATGCCCTCTCGTATTTTTGCCGAAATGAGTATCATATGTTCTCTTTTTAATACAGCTATATCAGATAAACATTAAAAGAAAAAAAAAAAAAATTAGTATCATAGAAAATGTTTAAACCTTCTAATTTGGAAATGATTTCATGTAAAAGCTTAAATAATATCTGTTCTTTCAAACTCTAAAAGATCTGAACATGCTTTTGAAAAGAAAAATCACCCTCACGGAAGAGATAAATGCTTTTCTTTTTTCTTTTTTAATTAGAATCTGACTCAAAAAGTGATTTTGGTTATTAGATGAGAATTTCGAATTTTACAGCAGTATAGGGAACAAAGAAATATCCAAAAGAAGAAAAGTGAAAATAGCATTTTAAAGAAGTACAAGTGAAACCTCAGTCACTGGATAAGCATTTTATGCTATGCAAATGCCATATTATCCAAGTAAAGGAATGTTTATAGAGCAAGCAGCTTAATTTGAATTTTAAGAAAATAAAAATTCAATTTGCAAACTACTTCTGACAAAAGATTCTAGGGATTGGTTTTTATTTGTATTTAATTTCTTATCAAATCAGTACTCATTGCACCATATAAATGCACCTCAATTTATTTCTAATAAAAATCATTTTCAAATACATTTGAAAGAACACTAAAAAATTTACTTTTTATATTGGTTAAAAATAATCATCAGTACTGCAAAAGTATGCCATAAAGTTCTTCTCTGCAATCTTAAATTTGAAGAAATCAAAGAATTGTGGTTGACATTTATGAAGTTTCTATATGAGCCTGAATACAATGTTTGCCTTTAAAGCAGTTTATTTTCCAAAGAAAAATTTTAAAGAGGTTGTAATTTACTTCATTATACCAGCAGTTGGCTAGTCCATTATGCCTTAATCAGACCCTTTCAGATACTGAAAGTCTCCCTTTCCTTTTTAATGAGGTTTGGAAGGGGATTAAGTGCAATACTGACTTGTTCAAAAGTCAAAAATGAGGCTCCACCATACTAACTAGAGAAAAAAATTTTTAATGCAATGTATTGTATATTTCTACAGATTTGAAAATTAAAAAGTAATATCACAGAATTGGAAGAACATGAAAATAAAAAATTCTATCAAAAATTATACCAAAAGTATGTCTGGAAATGCTCAGCAAGATTTGATACTCTCTTATTCATTCACATTCCAAGCTAGGCTTGTAAATGTGAAGCTATTCTCTAGCCCTTTAAATTTTTATTCACACTTTACAATTACTATTACTATATGCCTATAAACTTCTTAACAAAAATTTATAAAACATTATATGATTTTTTTTCACCCATTATTTATTTGCTTTTGTTACAGGAGGAAAAAGTTCAAAAGTTTTGCTGATTTGCAACATGTCACAGGAAAATGCATCCAAGACCAGTACAGACAAATGTCCTATAAAACTAAATACAAAAAACTTACAGATATTGTAAATGGAGTAAGATGCTGGCGGGAGATAGGAGTTGATCTGTCTAATCTAGATGGCACAACTGGCACTGGTAACCTCTGCATGGTTACATTTGATGTACTTTGAACCATTGCCTCTGTTGATGGAGAGATTTCTGTTCTAACAGGCATACCTAATGTTGGAGGATCAGCTGGTGGAGCCATGCATTGCTCTGTAGGCGCTGTTTGTAAACTGCTGCTATCAGCATCCATTTGGATGTCTGGGGGAAAAAAAAAAGCTTAATTGAGGAACAAATTTAAGTAAATAAATAATAAACTTGCATACTGAAACTTCAAATCACAGTCTGATCCCTGAGAGAGGCTTTTTCATTAAAAAATATCTAATCAGTGTTGCCACTTAAAGAGGAGAATGAAATTCCCTGACTTTTCCAGGTTTTCCAGGTGTGTTTTGAGAAAATTCCAGTTTATCCGCATAGTGTGCGTAGGCTGCGCTGAGAGGTAAATTAATTATGGTACCATTTGAAAATACAAAAATTTGCCAACTGCATATGACTTATTATATATATAATCCTGAAAGTATTACTATTATAGCTATAATAGGAGTTGTTTCCTCCAATGAAAATTGAGATTAGAATCTGCACAATCTGGATTAAAAAATGAGTTTTTTTGAAGACATTTTGCAGCTAAACGAAGAATCTATTTAATGATATTTTTAATAAATTCAGGTTTTATTTATTTAGCAGCATATAAACAAAATATGTGCAGTAAAATTTTCTGATAGTATGTCATCATACTGCTAGATTTAGTTCAATTAGCCAGAGAAATTTGCCTGAAATTGAAAATATCATTAACTAATAATAAAGATTTAGAGGAAAAAAGAACATTAAATGATATAAATAATATTAAAATGAAGTTAATTACTTAAAAATTGATTTACAATAATCAATGCTATGTTGGTGAATATTAAATATTAGCCTAGATGACTGATTACTATTTTTTTTTTTTTAAATTTTACTGCAAAATGGGGGGGGGGAAGAGTTTAAAAGATTTTGCAGTAAAATCCTAGTATTCGCTACAGCTTTTGTACAATTTTGAAAACTGCTGCCAACACCAAAATGACTGGTTTACTACCCAACACCTTCTGAAACAGAGACTGAGAGACAGAAAGGGGTAACTGTTGTTATTGTTCATCATAATGTCGCCAAATCCCATGTGTACCATACGTGGAGGTTAGAATTAAAAAAATGTGTATTGTTAAGATAAAAAAAACTTCTCTGCAACAGGAATGGCTCTGTCCAACGTAGAGGGAAACAGCTGCGTATGAGCGAAATATATGTCACTGAAGGTCACGAAGTACGAAGGTCAAGTTTATCAAGAGTACATAAAACGAATATTGTTTTAACCATTTGAGTCCGGTGAAGCGCTTACTTGTCGTATGCCAAAAATATGGCGCAGCGCGATAGCGCTTCTCTTGTTTTGTATTGAGAATGCGAAGACGCTGCTGTTGGTTAGTATACTTTACCAATATTGAGAGCATTGTAGTGATATCAGTAGCAGTTGTTTTTATAGGAATTGGAAATTGTTTTCATTTTTTTACCAAGTGTATACTGAAATTACAAATAACCCCCTGTCAAGTTCTGATTCATTGAAAGTGACTATGTTATGAGAAGTGATAATGAAGAGTATAGTAATGACCTTGAAGTGATAGTGAAGTGACATCATCATTCGTTCTAAGAGATTACGAGTTATTAGTGATAGCAGTGATGATGATGAAGTAACTGCAAGTATCTCCGATAATGATATATTGATAGTTTTTTAAAACCGTGGATACAATTTTTCGAACGAATTGAATACTTTTTCTGAAGTACCGGACCAAAGCATGCCCCTCCTCCTGATGCGAAACCAATTGAATATTTCAATAATTTTTTTTTCAATTTTCATTAACTTTTTTTTAAAGTATACTAACCAACAGCAGCGACTTCCAATTCTTGATACAAGAACAAGAATTCTAGATACTTGAACAAGAGAAGCGCTATCGCGCTGCACAGTATTTTTGGCATACAACAAGTGAAGCATGATAGCGCTTCACCGGACTCAAACGGTTAAATTTCCTTTAGAGGAAAATAAAATATTTTTTGCACGAGAAAATTAATTAATAGATTACCTATTTTCAGCAAAAAAAGTACAAAAATCTGAGTATAAATTATCGGGAATGTCAAAGAATGTTTCTTCTTAACACATGCAAAATTTCCTTTACACATCGCGAAGAGGGAAATTCTCGCCATCAGGTTGCGTCGCCAAATCCCTTGGCGAGTTTTTCTCTCCACTTTCTAGTGGCACTCTGCCAAACTGATTTACATTACGTCTATGAAACCTTTCTTTCTTTACATGGACATTCTTACATTAGAACAGGGTCTGTTAGGATTAAACCAATTTTTTTGTATATAGTGTTGTGTTCTTTAGTTCAACATCACCTGCACATGCGAGTATTAGGATTCTCTAGGTTACTGGAAACCAAACTTGTCGGAAACTTACTTTGCCTTTCTAAAAGACAATCTGATTGGAGCTGTGAAAATTGGCTCTACGCCAGCTGCCCGAATGACGCTCATCCGATACATAATTTGCCAACAAAGCCATCGCTTTCAACATTGGCGCAAAACTCGTTTTTTGGGGAATCGCAGTATGATATTCCCCAACTTTTCCAGATTTTGACTAAAATATTTCAATTTCCTGACTTTTTTGGTCAGTTTTCCCTTACTTTTTTTTTTTTTTTAATTCCCTTTTTTTTTCCGGTTTCCAGGTAGCGGGCAACCCTGGTCTATATAGCTAAATAATCAACTTTTTACTTTCAAATAAAATTATTATTATTATTATTTTATTTTTATTTATTTATTTATTTATTTTTGTTTAACGTATACTTTTTAAAAAGTATCTTATATTTGTTTTTGGTACATCATGGTTAAGAGAGGTGAGGTCATATAAATTATCTTAAGTTCAAAAAAGAAATATGAAATATAGATATATAAAATTGAGATGTGTTGAAAATTTCAGTATTACCATTTGATTTTACACGTGTTTCCAAAAAATTAAGTGCCTAGTGGTAAAATCAGCAGAAAGCTTTGATTAATATCAAACTGACATAAATGTAGTAAATCTGTTTATGCATGAAAGAAAATAAGCACTATGTAGAAAAATGAAAACTTCAATTATTTTTCATAAATTATATGATGATATCACTTTTGAGTCATTAACAAATTGATATTTAAAGCTAAAAAGAAATAAAATTTATATTAATAATGTATGTAACCTCCTAGGGCTTTACACAAACTTTACAGTGATTGCACATTCTTTCATGAAGTGATCAACTATCACAGATGCCAGCAATGGAAATTTCTCCGTGGGTCAGTTCCTAATTATCTGAAAAAGGTGAAAGTGCAGAGGTCAAATATGCCTATGGGTATCTAAAAGATTTCAGCAGGATTAAGGTAGGGAGAATATGGTGGCCACTCCATACCACAAATGCTCTTACTCTACAGTTTCTCATTAAATTGGTTTGATGAGGACAGGCATTATCATTCATATGCAAGAAATGAGGACCAACTGCTGAAGTGTAGTCTCTGCAATCTTCATCCAAATACCACATAGAGTTCGCACTACACAGTCATTCCAGAGCCATTTTTAAAGATGAAGTAGGATGCGATTATAACAAAAAAAATCCAGCCCAATTTGATGCTGCTGCCTCTGCATACATGATTTTAAATGATGTTCTGAGCCTGAATCCATGTACCTTGTTCTCCCTAGACCTTCACATGCTTATCATCTGAATCTATGCCAAATGTGGACTCATTCATGAACAAGACGATGAGCCAATCTGAGATAGTCTTATTAATACGCTGACGACCGACTTTAATCGCGACTCTCTGGATTGAGTGGTTAAAAAACACAAACACTTGGACATGGGCATCAATCCCTTCATGTAAAAGCTCTGGCACACAGCAATGACAAGTATTGTCTTATAAAGTGATGCTGCAGCCATGTGGGAAACAACTGTGGAGGTCACTTTCTCTTACTGCTTGCCTACTATACCAATATACAATATCCTCAGAAGGAATGCTAGCCCTTGGTCAAATATGCACAGGTCTTTAAACAATTGATTGACGTGTTTGGAATTGTTTCCATATTCATAAAATTACTGACTGATCAGCACCAAAGAAAAGTGTGACATCTTTGATTCTGTCTTGTTTTAAAGCATCCAACAGAATGCACTACCTGTCATTCATCTTTTCTTCAGCCACAGAAAAATGAATATCATAAAAAATTATCCTACAAAAGTTCTAAACACTTCATAGCAGCATTCAAATGAACCTCCTCAAATTCTGAAAAATGCTAGAATCTTCAATGATTTCCTAATTGGTATATGTTCGAACAGTCAATCATAATTAACTGCAACATACAATAGTTGCATACTGCCATCTGCATCTACAGTGATTTTCAGCCACTCAAATTCAACTACACTTTCCAAAATTGTTAATTTGCATTGTGTGCTTAAATTTTGGAAGCCAGTGAATTTTAGTTAAAGGCAACTGTATATACAAGAATGAGAGTTAAAAATTTTGCAGTTGTTATATTAATATGGCATTTGAAAGGCATTTCAGTTATTATTATACTGACGGTATAAAATAGCATTCATTGCAAAGTAATAATAAGGAGTAAATTTTTAAATTATTCACTTTGCTATATGGATTAGCAACGAACTTCTATATCATGGAAGATAAAATATCTTAAACTTAAAAAATTAGCAGCATCATCCAACCTTCACCTGATCTATGTTGCAGACAAAAAAAGCAAAACCAGTATCCCTTCAAAAATTAACAAAATAAATGTAAATTAAAAATATTCTGCTTGTTTGAAACTACTGCGGCAACAGATGAAAAAATTAGTTCATATAATCTTCTTTCTTTTCATGAGAAATCTGCACTTTTTTATATCACAGTTTTAATTAACCTTATTCAATAATCACTGCAATTAGAAGGCAGATCTAAAGTTCAGTTTTAAAAAGTCTCTGTTATAGAGCATTATGATGTTTTACAATCAACATACAAATATAACAGCAGGAATGAAATTTCTTTAGGACAAATGTTGGAAGGACTGTTTTAAGGAAATGATAAAGAAATAATAATTATATATTGAACAAACATTACATATTCATACATGCGTATTTAGTTTCATGTATACAGTTCATGCACCGTCTATAAATTTC